CCTGGGCTCAAGTGATTCTCTTGCCTCCGCCTCCCAAGTAGCTGGGACTACAGGCACCCGCCACAATGCCTGGTTATTTTTTGGTTGTAGCTGTCATTGTTGTTTGTCAGGCCCGGGCTGGATTCGAACCTGCCAGCTGAGGTTTATGTAGCTGCTTGAGCCACAGGTGCTGAGCCCTTTTTTCCTTTTTAAGTTGTGAAATATATCATATAACTAAAAGTTCAGAATACAAAAATGTATGGCTTGGCAAATTATCATGACACAAACATCTATTGAGCACCACTCAAATCAAGAAAGAAAATATTTCTGGGACCCTAAGAGCCTCTTTTGTGCACTCACAATTATAACCTTCTTCCTCCCTTTAAATAAAACCACTTAATCTGACTTTGACAGCAAACACCCTCCCCCTTCTTAAAAAGCATTTTGCTTTATAAGCACGCATCACTAGACACCGTAGATTAGTTTACTCTCTTATCTTTTGGGACATTGACAGCTAAAGCATAGATGATAATTAAATCTAACTCTGGGACCTCTGTTTCTTCACCTGGGTTATTGAAGGTAGTGGGAGAAGAGTCCTTCCAGCGATGCCCTAGATGTTGCCGATCTGTGTTACCACCAGGTTCACCATCCTTTGTACTTCCTCCCAGTTCCTGGGATGTCTTTGCATACTGTTCACTTTGGGATCTCCAGTTGAGGTCTCACCCATTGGACACACCTGTGGCTCTGAGAACTTGGTCCTGCTGAGGTTGCTGGAACCTTTTGTTCCCCAGACTTCCATCCTCGGGGACAGCTCTGGGGGCTGCTGTACTTCTGGAGAATCCTGGGATTTGATTCCCCTTCAACTCCTCTCCCTTTTTCTTCCCCTGCTCTTCACCCATGTCTTACAAAACAAGATGCTTTTGACCAATTAGGTCAGTGGAGCCACAAAAAGAAAAGTATAAACCCTCAGTTATTGATGTATTCATTTAAAATGTATTATCTGTATTGGTTGACAAATACATTAAAAAGGTTACTAAAATATTAAAAACATCTTTAAGCATTAAAAGCATAGTTGCTTTATAATCCATGACTGACGGTGCTGGAATATTTACAGGTTTATGTCTGCTTTCTGATCTGGTTCTCAGTATTGCCTTGTTTCTTTATCTGGTTGGCGTTGACTCTATGGTGGTAATTGCAGGTGGAAATCATTTATGGGGATTCCACTAGAGCTGGAATGCATGCCACATACTCCACAAAGCCCTTAGGTTTATTTTTGTCAAGCACTTGGAGCATCTAATGATTAGATATCATTGTAAAGAAAAGTTCAAGGCTTGAGGTTCTCTGGCTTACTCAAGCTATAAGAATCTGGTGTGGTCAGTCTACGGCCATGGCATTCCCCTCCTCTTTATTTCTACTGCTCCGTTCAGGGCTAAGAGATTTTCTCTACAGTTGCCTGAGATTAGGGAGATGGTTTCTGGTTCACCTTTACCATGAGGTAACTAGGAAAGTAGTGTAGAAAGAACCGAGAATGGGTGATTCCAGGTAGGCCCTAAGAGGGTGGAGATGCCCTCAGGGCGGAGACAGCTTAGGCTGCTGATACTAGTAATTAGTAATGAACTGAGAAATTATACCGTGCAGGCTGGGGGCAGTGGCTCAT